CTAACCTCCGCTGGCTTCAGCTCGGGCGCCTCCCCCGGGTGCTCCGGGTAGGGCGTGTTCACATAATTGTGCATGCCCCCTCGAGATTCCTGAGTTGATGCTCCGTTCGGGGTCGCTGCGGTATCCCGCAAATCCCCATCATCGTCCGTGTACTTGGGAGCGTAGGAGATCGGCATACCTGGGCTGATCGGACCTGGCTTCTCATCCTTCTCCTGAGCGTCAACCGGATCCTTGACCCTGCGTCCCTCCCTATCGGGAGATGCCGCTCGCTTGGCGGCAGGCGATTCCACGGTGGGTCGATTGGCAGCTGCAGCGGCCTGAGGTGCCTCAGCCTCCCTATCGGGAGCATTTCCTTTCCCCTCGACGGGAACCTCCGCCTCCTCCACCGGCTCCATCTCAACGTCCCCGGTGAACTCTTGCAGCTCAGCCTCAGTAGGGCCCTCACCATCATTGAAGGTATCCGTGGGAAGATCGATCCCTCCCCTATCGGGAAGGAGATCATCAACCTCGGCAGAACCACCACCACCTGCATTCTCCTCTTCAATCGTCGCTCTTGGCGTCCGAAGACTCGACGACCATCGGTTCCCAGTTTCTGCCGTAGAAACCGGTGGGGAAGAAATCTTCGGACTCCGAGGAGGATTCGGTGGAGACTTAGGCCTCACCGATGCCATCATCTCCTTCGTGACTAACGCCTTAGGAGGGGCCTTCGGGATGGCAGCTGGACCTCCCTCTCGGTGACCTGTGCCAGATGATTGTCCTCCAGGGGTCCCGCCTACCGGCGGATCTCCCTGTACAGCACACGTCATCTCGGCATCCTCGGACTCTGACATCGAGCTAGCATCGCCCATTTTCGAAGAAGTACCCTCCTTCAGATGCTTAAAGATGTTGTCCCTGATCTTCAACGCAATGTCGCCGGGCCATTCGGTCCTGGTCAAGGAGAAGAAGTCCGGAACCGCCGCGAGGAGGCATCACTACCCATGCCCTCTGGACTGGCCTGTTCCTGCCGTAGTTGTCTACTTCACTCCCCCACGACACAGCGTCGGCGGAGACCACTGGGACCAGGTTCATGCGGACCGCGTTCATCTTCGACTGTATCTCCTTCTGCATGTGAACCCTCTCGATCTAACGATCCCGCACACCATGACCTTCACTTTGAAGCTGAGCGAAACCAGCGACTCCACGTCCTTGTTTCAGACGCTCGCCGCGTCACTTCTCGCCCGCCATGCATTCTTCTCCCATCTGTACAGGTAGGAGCCACGGAAGTGAAAGACATACAGGTCGGATTTCGCGGCTCGCGTTTCCGTGCTTCTGGACGCACTCTTCCGTCCGCTTGTCCAACAGCTCATATGCCTTGGTGATCATCATCCGAAGTGACGTTTCCTCGTTATCACGAGTACTGGTCACGTAGTGTACCTCATAGTTCTTGAACGGCCGGTTGTCCGGGGAACCCCTCAACCTGTCGTTCTTCGTTCTGCACATGAGGATACTTTCCGCCAACGCTGCCGTATCCAACCCCTTCTTGCTCTTCTGGGAGGCAGTGTTGAACGTCTGATCCAGCAAGTAGAATACGGTCGCGTCCGGGGTTGCGGATTCCTCCTTGTACACTGGAGGGCCGTCCTGGAGAACCCAAAGCTCAAACCAGACATTGTTTTAACAACCAGTCGTATGTGGTAAAAACCTACCGCAATGAATATACAACCAGTTGTATTACCAAGAAAGATATACAACTAGTTGTGTCCATAATACACCTAGTTGTTGTTCAATGCGGCGAGCATGGTCGCATGGCAATTCCATCGAACATCAGACGATGACAGCCGCACCTGCAAGAGCGAAAAACGGCTCACGACCTGGAGCTCTATATAGTCTAGGCTACGCAAAGCACCCCGCACACCCTTTCCGTTGCATGATCGGCAGCGTGGCGCATCTCATCGCCAGTTCGTTGCATTTATAAAGCTCCAGCGGGTCGATCACCTTGATCACGCACGCTTGAGCCAAAGATCGATTCGAAACAACCCTAAAAAACACAGCTTCCTTAAGGAATAGATCTACCCTCTCTCGTTATAGAACAACAGGGGGAGAGCAAACGCCAAAGGTGTATCTATTTCGGGGGTCGTACAACACACACGCGAACATCAAAATTCTTACAAGCTTAATTCGACTTAACACACATAGCAAAATGCAACCAAATACGTGTTCATCACAGCGTATCATTCAAACATGTATGCTTTGGTTTATTTCGTGCAAATACATATTTAATATATGCAGAAAATAAATCAAAATCACTCATGTGTCCTTCATATACATATATATTCGTTCCAAATGTGTCTAACGTGTCTTTAAAAATGTATATATATGTAAATATATATGTAAGAACACATTCACAGTTGTTTAGAATATGTATACACGAACCTGCATTCGTCATATGAGACAGCGTCAAAATTACTTGTCTGGGGTGTATTCATCTGGTGTTAGGACGTCCCGTATCGTTTTACAGGTTTTGCTTAAAAAGGACGTCCCGTATCGTTTTGCAGGCCGTGGATACGGGACACATCCCTGCCCCCGTGCTTGCTACCAAACGATTCTTTGCGGGAACAGCGCCAACGAAACAGCAACGGAATGGAAGCTCCCACAAGCAGGCGTTCCCCGGTATAAAGCCACACGGCGGCCAAAGCGCAATCCCTGCAAGCAAAGCAACTCACACCACGGGCCGCAGATTCCTTTTAGTCCCCCTCAGACTTGAGGAGGAGGAACTTGCACTTGACACAGAGTCCTCCTCCAACGGCTGTTGCGCCGCTGCTTTTGCCTAGCTTTGCACCTCTTCTCAACCAGCTCTCCCCGCTTGCTGGGTCCGCCACGCTTTCTCTCATCTCGTTGCCTCCTCAAGTCGGCGTGCCAGCAAACTCACGCAGTGTTGCGTCCATGTAGTTCCTCACCCGCTTGGCTGCTGGAGCTGGGGTTGTTCGCTTCACACCCAGGGCACACGTGCAGCCGCTTGGGGAGAAAGGACGAGGCTGCGTCCAAAGATGCTTGTCACGCCCCCGCGGCACCGCCGGCGCTGGAGCCGCGAGGCTGGCTTCCTCACCGCGGTGGTCTTCTTCACCTTCTCGCCTTCGCGATCACCTTGACAATTGCTTTTCCGCGCTGTTCGGCTCAGCCTTTGGAGCCGAGGCAGCTCTCTCTATGCGAGCATGCTGCCCCTCCTGGGTCAAAGCTTTCCACTTCTCCTCAACACGCACTCCTCAACCCATCGTGATTCTTCCTGTGTCAGCCCAGCGCCGCCGGTTTGTGGCTGCACGGCTGCGAGGCTGCCTGGCAATTCCTGGCATTACAATCCTTGCTCTCCAGCATTGCAGTTCTTTCACAAGCCACCCCCAAATGTGTGTCTCCTCGTAACTGCAGGGGTAGCGCTTTGGTGTCAAGTGGGCCACCCCCGACATTTAGCATCCTGCCCCATTGCGGGGGTATCGTCGGGGTATCGTTTTGGGGTATCGTTTTGGTGGTCGGTTTTTTCTCGAAGCGGCGCTGTTTGACAACTGTCTTACTTCCGCTCTAAGGAGCCTCAGAGAAGCGCTGGAGCGTGCAAAATGCAGCCCTGCAGTTTGCTTGCGGCCGAAGAAAGGTAACCTCCCAAGCACCTTGCGTGGCCAGCAAAAGGGCAAGCCAGTGGGACATCCTCAGAATGCATAGCTGCCGTCTTGGTTTCCGTCTATGGACGCTCCACCCTCCAGCTCTCGTGCTTTCTAGCCTTTTTCGTAGCTTTTTCATGCGCAGAGTGCAGATGCACGCATTCTTCGAAAGAGCTCGCTCATTTAGTTCCAGTGTTGCGCAAGTTCCTTCTGAACTTCGTTGACAAAACGGAGAACTACAGTTGCACCCCTTCTAAACTTCCTTGACTGAACGGAGAACTACTTTTACATCCCCTTCAAAAATGCAAACGCCTGCAAGAAAGACTTTTGCCCAACTACAACTCGTAATGCTTTTTGCTGGCCGGCAGTTACCCCTGCAATGTGGTGGACACATGCTAGAAACGTTCGCCCCGTTCAAGCACAGCTTGTTTTTGCCACACGTGTCTTGTCACAAGCCAGCTGGTGCTCCAAATGTGAAGTTCCCTTTTGATCCCCCTGCCCTGCAACCCTTGCAGAGGAAGGGCCTAGTTGCAAGTCTCGACCAAGCAAATAAACACATGCTCTAGGAGAACACACAAACTAACAAGACATTTTTGTTTGCAACCAATGCCAACTTGCTGAAGGGGTGTCGTTTTTTTGGACGTCCCGTATCGTTTTTCGAGCAACAACGCAAACACAATACGTGCATGAAACACCCCCATATAAAGTACATGACGGTAATTTTGATGCTAACTCATATAATCAAACGGAAACAAAAATTGCACACGCATTCAAGTTAGCGCTCTTTTTCGAAAGCACCCGCCAGCAGGTAAGCTAGCTTCAGGCTGCAACTGCCTATATGGTCTCGATCGTTCGAGACCACGCATCGCATTAATGGCGTCACATTCGCTGCCACAAGAGAGTTCGTTTCAAGATGTAGCGACGGGCCCAAACCTTGAGCATCGTCCTCGGGTGACATGCAGACGACACGCCACGAAGCTGCTTCATGTGACCCTCGTCCAAAAATGTGGATGCTGCCATCGGGTTGATCTTCCAACGCCGAGTCTCGTCCAGCAGATGGGCGATGTAGTGGTGCTTCGGGCGCACCCGCCACAAAAAGTCACCACGCTCCAGAGGGCCAAGGCCTGATAGCACACCAAGTGCAGGCAGCCAAGCCAAGAGGACTCTGCAGCCTCTGCGTCTGACAGATGTGGCCGCTCGCCTTTGCTCCAGATTGACAGCGCCGCACTCAGCGAGAAGCACATGACCGCCCGCAGCTGAGCTTCAAAGATGCAACTGGCCGGCACGTTATGTGGAACGAGCTCCTCCTTAGATCCGGCGACGTCAATGAATTAAGACCGCCATGGAACAGCAATTGAAATAAGAACACGCCAATCATTTTTCGCCAATAGAAAACATATCTGGCAAAGTGTCAATCTCAAGTGCAACTTTGGTGACAAACTCGAACAAGACACGGGTGCGAGCAGCCTTCACTCGACTGTCAAGTTCTGGGTAGGACTTGCCATCGAACCCAAGTCGAGACTCTGTAAGTGGAGGTATGGATAAGTCCAGTTTCTGCCCGCGCGCCCATTCCTTCGCTAAGATTGTGAAGCGGTGCAAAACAGCGTCAGGCGTTGCATCGTTGCCCAACTTCACGTAGCTGTGCAGCTCTTTTGTCAGGAGCAGACTCACGAGCGTGCTGGCCACCACATCACGCAAAATGCCAAGGTGAATCAAATGCATACCTTACTTGCCCCGTGCCAAGAACAGCTTCATGCAGGCAACACACAAACACAACACACAAGCCAGCATCTTGTAAATATTAAAATTAGTGGGCAAGCGAAGGCTGCTGCGCCATTCCTCCCGGCTTAATCCTCCGCAAAGAAGGCTACTCGTGGGCAGCGCAGGCAGCGAGACAAAGCCAACGCAGCAACATGCCATGAGGCTTGGGCGCAGCCGTGTAAATATGAAATTTCAATGATAAAGAGAGAGAGAGAGAGAGAGAGAGAGAGTGTACATGAGGATGAAAGTAATGAATTCTTAGCACCAACCATATGTTCCTCGTTGAAGATTACTCCATACTCCAGAGAAGATAGCAGTTATAGCTCCTAAAGAAAGAACAATATGAAAATGCGCTACAACATAATATGTATCACGCAATCCTAGATCCAGCGCAGCAACGGCAAATAAAAACCCGTGTTGCTCAAATGTTGCCCAAGGCGCAGTCCCACAATCTCCGGGGCCTAGAATAGCCAGGCACTTGAAGCCACAAGGACTTGTCCTCCAGAGTATGCAGGCAATCTGTGTGCCTCCACTGAGCGCTTGCGGAAAAATCCCCACATGATAAATGACTGTTCGTCCGGGATGCCCAGCACCAATCACAAATCCAAGAGCATCTGTAATGTCTGGTTTGCAGGCTATGTGCGGGCATTGCCGCCTCCAAGTCTCCTTTCCAAGAAACAAAAGTAGCAGTGAAGCGGCCCATGCGCTGGCCAGCTCTCTTGGCCCTGAAGCTGCCGGCTGGAAATTGCGCCCCTGTGTGATCAGTGGTCGGCCACACGCCCGCGCGCAGTTGCTTCAAATCCCACGCGATGACATCGAGGATGGCCACACGGGTTTCAGTACACATTTGCGATGTCATTAAACCCACAACGCAGCATCTGGTCGCCCAACTGTCCCCACGCGCCATGGGTGTGGAAAAGGATATGAAAGTCGCTGTTGAGTCGTGCCAATTCGGCACACCATCTTCATGAAACGACAAAGGAACACACGTGGAGAGGTCTGAGGGGGCTACGCCCAAGCTAGCAAGAAAGGCCGGGTCCTCCTTCTCCCAATACTGTTGGATGCTGGCCTCCCCGAGAGGGCCAAAAAGGCATTTGTTCCTGACTGCTTCGCCCCGCGCGCACATATCAAACAGCATATCTGAAGGCAATACCATCGCCACTTCAAACGGCTGCACCTGGGCCAGACACACAATCTGTCTAGAAGCAACGTCACAACCAGTCGCAACTCAGGCTTCAGTGCAAGATACCCTTCGGGCTCTTATGATCGCCAAGCTACTTCCACATCAAGCTGCTTGGTGGTGAGCAGTGGGATGTTGGTCGTGTACGGAGGGAATGGCAACTTGACCCACCGGAACAAATCTCGTTCACGGCTGCTTGTAGCGAACTGATTGATGGTCCTGCCGTGGACCCCATCTTGCTGGAAGGCCGCAGCAATCTTGGCAGATTTTTTGACAGACATCGCCTCAGTTGCGAGGGTATGCTACAAATAGGTGAGACACAACTGAAAATGCAAACTCAAAGGTGAAAGCCGCAGAAAATACAAACACCAAGCCCAGGCACGCCAGCTCCCACTTCTTCAGCAAGTATGGAGCACCCACGACTGTCCCACTCGTTCACATTCCTGAGACAGCCAACTGGCACGTGTGTGCCACCATTCACAATTCGTGCAAAACAATCTTCACAAGTACTTCAAACGAGATTCTGTTTCTTGCGCCGCTTCTGGTGCTCTGGGCCAACCTGGTACCTATCAGCTGCACACATGCTGCAAGCTGGGCGGGCCACACGCGCACCCTAAACCCTAAAGTGGAGGCAAGTCAGCAGCGCTCAAACCCATGTCTGGCTTTACTCATGTGGCTCAGCATCAGGAACAGCACAGACTCAACCACGACAATCAAGTGTAGAAGCCAGCACAGCTTCTTTTGCCTCATGGCAGCACGAGCTCTGCACCTGCAACACACCCTGAGTCGACTCGGATCCTGCACAGAGCAAAATTTACTCTGGTGATAAGCCTTTGTAGTCACAGCCATGTGCAGGTCACACCCTGTGCAGAGCTCGACCAACAAAAACCAGGTGTGAGCCCTAAAGGCTTCAGAAGCCACAGGCGCACACAGAGCCCACACGTGAAACGCCAGCAACCTCAGGCAAGTTGTCTGAACATATCAGCTCATGCATCGCTGTCTCTATATCGTAGGTTGGGCCTGAGGACACTGGCGAAGTATCTCAGAGGCTAAAAAGCCACATGCTCTCAGCGGGCGCAAGATCAAGATGATGGCAGCCTCAAATCTGCAGCACCCAAGCCCGGCCACGTACGTTTGGGACATGTGGCGTGGTTAAACTGAATACGGAGCCCAGTTTCCAAATGTGCAATTGGCTTGCGACGATATGCGTAGACAAGTCACGGCTTCGCCTTGGCCTTCTTCTTCGGCGCGTTCTTCACCTTTAAGGACTTCACCATGCCCTGCGCCGCCATCTTCGGGGCCTCGTAGTTCCGGCTCACCTCAAGGAACTGCTTGACGTACGGCAAGTAGTCCTCCTCGCGGTCCACCTGCCCGGCCACGAGGGTACGCACACCATTGTACAGCTCCTCAAACTTCGCCGCGTGTTGCTCCACCGTATTTTTGAGGCTCTGCCCGAACTCTATTGTGCCCAATTGGGTGCCTAGCTCAAGCGCCTCCGACTTCTTCTTGAGCACCTTGCCACGCGCACAACAGTTCTCCTATAGAAAGCACCTTGCCAACTGGGAACGCGCAATTTCAAAGACACCCGCCTGAGTTGCGAGGGACTGCCCCTTCTGCAGGGGCGTAGTCTCTGCGACCTCCTTGGGGGTCTTGGTTCCCTTGCCACGCTTGCTGCTGGGCTGCGGCTGCTCAGGCTGTGGCGTGGGAGTCGATATGCCTGGGGAAGGCTGGGGCGAGGGCGAGGGCGGCACAGGCAGAGCGCCTCTCTTCTTGAAGATGGGCGCGGGTGGCTTCCTGCGTCCAGGGACCCGCCCGCTTGAGTATAGAAGAAAGCTACTTGCTGATCCAAAAAACAATCATTGATCGCTCACTGCTCGACTTGTTCAGCAAATCACATTCAATTTACTCGTGAGCCAAGTGGCATGAGCTCGCTCACCTGACTGATGTTCGAAGCATCCACCGCCACGCCCGCCGTGCGAAGGCGCTTGCCTTACAGGGCGCCGCACGCTTTAAAAAAACATCGGCAACAGCAGCACGCACAGAACATGCAATATTCACAAACACACACACACACACACCCACCCGCCCACCCACGCACGCACGCACGCACGCACGCACACACACAGACACAGACACAGACACAGACACAGACACAGACACAGACACAGACACAGACACAGACACAGACACAGACACAGAGAGACACAGACACAGAGACACAGAGAGACACAGAGAGACACAGAGAGACACAGAGAGACACAGAGAGACACAGAGAGACACAGAGAGACACAGAGAGACACAGAGAGACACAGAGAGACACAGAGAGACACAGAGAGACACAGAGAGACACAGAGAGACACAGAGAGACACAGAGAGACACAGAGAGACACAGAGAGACACATAGAGACACAGAGAGACACAGAGAGACACAGAGACACACAGAGACACACAGAGACACACAGAGACACACAGAGACACACAGAGACACACAGAGACACACAGAGACACACAGAGACACACAGAGACCACAGAGACTCACAGAGACACACAGAGACACACAGAGACACACAGAGACACACAGAGACACACAGACACACAGACACACAGACACACAGACACACAGACACACAGACACACAGACACACAGACACACAGACACACAGACACACAGACACACAGACACACAGACACACAGACACACAGACACACAGACACACTGACACACAGACACACAGACACACAGACACACTGACACACAGACACACAGACACACAGACACACAGACACACAGACACACAGACACACAGACACACAGACACACAGACACACAGACACACAGACACACAGACACACAGACACACATACACACAGACACACAGACACACATACACACAGACACACAGACACACAGACACACAGACACACAGACACACAGACACACAGACACACAGACACACAGACACACAACACACAGACACACAGACACACAGACACACAGACACACAGACACACAGACACACAGACACACAGACACACAGACACACAGACACACAGACACACAGACACACAGACACACAGACACACAGACACACAGACACCCAGACACACAGACACCCAGACACACAGACACACAGACACACAGACACACAGACACACAGACACACAGACACACAGACACACAGACAAACAGACACACAGACACACAGACACACAGACACACAGACACACAGACACACAGACACACAGACACACAGACACACAGACACACAGACACACAGACACACAGACACACAGACACACAGACACACAGACACACAGACCCACAGACACACAGACACACAGACCCACAGACACACAGACCCACAGACACACAGACACACAGACACACAGACACACAGACACACAGACACACAGACACACAGACACACAGACACACAGACACACAGACACACAGACACACAGACACACAGACACACAGACACACATACACACAGACAAACAGACACACAGACACACAGACACACAGACACACAGACACACAGACACACAGACACACAGACACACAGACACACAGACAGAC